GGTCAAGCGGAAAAAAGCAGATTTTAGCATGTAAAATCTTTAAAATTTCTCAACATCTTTAAAAATCTTTTAAAATCATATATTAGAGCGGGTAGGAGTACCAGTTACCGGTAACGGTAACTGGTACTGGTATCCTTGAGGCCACAAGTCCTACTATAGAGGATATCCTTGGGTTCTCACGTTCTATACTAAGGGAGTGACTTTGGCTCCTCAAGTCCTATACTGGGGGAGGGGATATCCTTGAGTCCTCAAGTCCTACTATAGAGGGTACCATTGGGGCCACAAATCCTATCATACGGGGGTATCATTGGGTCCTCATCTCCTATTATAGAGGGGAACGCTTGGGTTCTCAAGTCCTACACTAAGGAAGTACCCGTGGGTCCTAAAGTTCTTCTATAGGGAGGCACTCTTCGGTCCTCAAGTCCTATACTAAGGGGTTACCCTTCAGTCCTCAAGCACTACTAAAGGGCGGTACCCTTAGGTCCGCAAGTCTTACTATAGAGAGGTACCCTTGGATGCTAAAGTTCTGCTATAGGAGGTACCGTTGGGTCCCAAATCCTACTATAGCGGGCTACCCTTTGGTCCTCAAGTTGTATACTAGCGGAAACTCTTGGGCCTTCAGGTACTATACTAGGAGGTACCCTTGGGTGCTCAAGTACTACATTGAAAAAAAATAAGATACCACACGATACCAAAGATAGTTTCGTAATCTCTACAAAACTTTAAAAGGGTTTCCTGCGAAGTGTGAAACTTAAAAAGGTGTCGAATTTTGTAACGAATTCGATACCTTTTAGAGATTTCGTATGAGACATTTGAGATCTTCCAAAAATATTCCTGAAGCTTCGACAATGATTTTGAGCCTATCTTGGGTTTTTACCAAGCCTTAAAAAATGTTTCGATTTCGTTACAAAAAAATTTTCGTACGGTACCATAGTTTTTTTCAGAGTACTATTGGAATTACCTTTGGATCCTTAAATTCTACTCCCCGTAAACTTCATCCCCTTCATAAATGTCATTATTCAATCATTCTGTAGACACAAATACAAGAACAGCTGAATTATTCGTCCACAGCCGCAGCTGAAAAATATCAACGAACAAAGGAGAAAAGAAAAGTCCATGCAAGCTAACTTGACTTCACCACTATCGCTCCTCTGGTACATACATGAGCCGAATCTATTTGCCCATTAGCCAACCAGTTGTTTGACCACAACTGATCAAGCAATATATAGCTTTCCATAATAACAGAACAGTATCGCATTACAACTTCAGAGTACGTAAGTATCGTTCTCCTATTCAACACTAAAACCTCATTTTCAACAAAACAGCGAAAACGACGACATGTGAAATCCTTCGCTTCTGAGTAATAAATGAAATCAGGTTCCACTTACCAGTCATACTTTCAAATTGACGATACAAAAGTTTCTGACCGATCTCCACTTCTTCGGAATGCCGTCTCTTCGATCGACAAAATTGACTGCAGAATTCTGAGAGACTAACCCCAGGCTCCGGTTTTCCGACGCCGATATAGACTCTCCAGCCTTTATAAAAGTTCGTTATTTTCTCAAAAAACCATCCTTACGATGAATAATGCAGATGTCGAATTTTTCTTTATCCCACCCTCAGTTATTTCCCAAGCTAATAATAACTTTTCTCGGACACTTACTAGTTGAAAAAGGTTAGGTTACACCACTATTCTCTATCCGATAGCGCTTCAGAAACTATCAGCACCCAATCCGATAGCATCTCGCCAAATCCACTTCTTCTATCGAGTGGCACTTCAAAACTATTGGGCAATCGCTCATAAATAGTTTTAAAGACTTCAGAAACCTGTATACATGAGTCCATAAGGCCATAGACGTACCTCCTCAGACTGTCGGTCATGACTCATCACCTCCTCCAGATTATAGATCATGTGGAATTGAAGGTACATCGATAGTTGGGAAGTTTGAGGGACCTAATCGTTACAATCATCAGATAACAGACAAGTTAGTGTCCTCATCATAGCCCTAGAACGAGGAAACTGCCCCGCTACCAGCCACCCGGTAACTGTAAGGTCGGATACCTAGTACCCCCTAGTGCACGACTAGAGGATCCAAGGATACCGTCTAGTTTGCGACATGAGAATCCAAGACTAACCCCATATAGAAGGCCTTGAGGATCCAAGCGCACCCCCTATAGTAGTACCTGAGAACCCAAGGATACCTTCCTATAGTAGAACTTGAGAATCCAAGCGTACCCCGCTATAATAGTACTTGAGGACCTAAGGGTACTCCCCATAGTAGGACTTATGGTCCCAAGGGTACCTCCCTATAGCAGTACTTGAGGAGTCAAGGATACACTGAAAAAGAAATTCGTAGAATAATGAACCGTTGCACTAAAAATAATTTTCTATAAACCCTTGAACGGTGTATGCAGTTGTCAAAAACCTTCAAAAGGTTTATCAACTGGAGCGTTTATGACAGTGAGAGAATATACAAATGGAAAGGGTATATGGCACACATTTAAGGGTTTATTATTCGGCGTTTTTGTGAGAAAGGTTTAATATTCTATGATTTAGAGCATTTTAATCTGTGTTTTTGTCGGAAACATTTATTATTTTAGAGATGAGGGTATATTACTCTACGCTATCAACAAAAAGGTTTTCTATTCTGCGCATCAAGATAGGTTATTCTACGATCGTACAAAAGGGTTTATTACTATATGCTCACGGGTATATCACTCTACGCTATCAACTAGGGGATATAGCATTCTGCCCATCAGGATAGATTATTCTACACATAACGGTGTGTTACTCTACGATTTTAGAAAAAAAGAATTCCTTATCATACACTCAGGAGTAGATTATTCTCCGCTATAAACAAGACGATTTTTTATTCTAAGGACAAGGGTGTATTATTCTGCGATTTTATGAAAACGGTTTATTATTATACTCTCAGAGACAGATTAATCTATGTTTTCATTAGAAGGGTTTATTGTTCTACGCATAAGGATATATTATTCGATGATCGCAAAAAAAGGTTTTATTATTATACACTTATGGGTTGATTATTCTACGACTTAAAAAAAGAAGGGTTTTCTATTCTATACTCGAGGTAGATGATTCTGTTTTTATGAAAATGATTTATTATTTCACGCTCAAGAATTCAATTATTCTACGTTATTGTCAGAAGTGTTTATTATGATTCTACGTATTATGGTTGGTTATTCGACGATGTCAACAAGAGTTTTATTGTTTCACGAACAAGAGTAGTTTATTGTGCAAATTTTTTTGCAGTGTAGTTATTCGGATCGATGTCCACTATTGAATGAAGGAAATAGAATAAGACAATTTAGTTTTCTATTATTTTCTTATCTTTATTTAGATACTCTCTAAAAAAATGATGTCATAAGGCATCTTCTTTTGGGTACCATTTTAAGAATCTTAGTTTAGTTCTAGCCAAAAAGTCTAAATTCTTTACAGTTGCATACTTTCTCGGTAAACCCGTTTTAATCTCTACACTTCTTGGTTGGAACTCAAAAGAGATTCTAAAAATATTATCCAAATCTAGAACACTAAAAAAGTTCAGAATCTTTGGTAAATTCTTGAATGGTTTCTTCTAATACATTTTTTTACCGAGTGCGGGGTGTGGGTGTGAGGGTGTAGGGTGTGAGTGGTGTGGGTGTGGGGTATGGTGTGTGAGTGGTGCGAGTGTGGGTGGTGTGGATGTGTGGTGTGTGTGTGTGATTAAATGAACCCACACCCACACTCACACGCCGCATCCACACATACTCACACCCTCAAGGAGACTAAAACATCACTTTTAAATCCATCATCGAGATCAATCTTATACTTCTCTAAATCGGGTCTTATTGTCCAAATTAGATTGGCATTATGTGTGTATTATTTAATAAGCTTATTTCTACTTTTAGCATTATTCAGATACGTTACTCACCCTAATGAAATCAATAAGATCCAATATATTGGAAAAATTTGATATTGACTTGTTGTTAATTTGGCTTGGTTATAGGTATGTAACACTGTTTGCTTGTTTTTGCAAATGATTCTTTTTTATCTTTGCAGTAAGGTGCCTTTATATGTTTCTTGCTCTTCCTTAATGTGTTTAGTTTTTTTTCCTTCTTTTTTTTAAATTTTTTGTTACACGCTCTATCACGAACATAGTTACACAAGATGCACATGTTCTGCATGAAACGATTTGCTTCAGTGAATACTGCATGTGAAATAATATCGAAACATATACTTGAAAAAATATTGAGAAGCAAAATGTAATAGATAAACATCAAATTACTTCTTTACCTTGACGAAAGTAATATATAATATTCATGTATATACAAATAAAAAGTCTCAAACCAAAAAATTTCAATATATATATATTTCGCGCATTTTTTTTGAAAAATAATAGTTTAATAAGGGTGTGGATGAAGAGAAGAATTAAATCTACACCCACACCTACATCCACATAAAACTTCACATCTGTCAACTGTCGTAATAGTCGAGAGAAGCTATTATATAAAAGCTGTATGATGTTGTCAATATACGGTATTTATCTCTTGCTTACTTCTCTACTCTGTTACTCTATTGAAATTAGAGTATTGTAAAGTTGATGATCTATCATTTGAGTAACGAAATCAAAAGTCAAAATTTTATCGGTGACTAGCTTGATTAGTGGTCTGACAGATTCTCTCTTAACAGTATGCATATAACCTTGTTCTCCTTTATAGTCGCGTTCATTGAATGCAATCAGTATTCCAGAATTTGGCAAGCTTATATCAGAAACACGTTTGTTAATACTAACGCATTTCGATATTACATGAGTAGAGAGTTTTCATCGAGCAAGTCGTGTCATTTTCATTTATGCTATATATGAGTCAGTGGGAAGAAAGAAAAATATTGCATCACCACGAATAAAAAAGAACAGAATAAGTAACTTATAAAATGTAGTAACTCGTCGTACCATGTATTTTTTTCATTAATAGACACAAACAATACGTATTGCACAATCATGACATCTCTTCAAATCCACAAACCACATCAACCAGAATTAGTTCAACATGATTCATCTATTCTCGGTAAGTTTTTCTTAAAAGTTTATTCAATTAGTGATAAATATGTTTTCAGACCTTGCATTTGCAATTGACTGTACGGGTTCAATGGGACCTTACATAGTTAGTGCAAAGAATAATATTCGCTCAATTGTTGAAAAAATCACCGCAAGCGAAAAGAGTGATATTCGCTTGGCACTTGTCGAATACAGAGATCATCCACCACAAGTAAGTGACAAGCAATAATAGAAAAACTATCATAGATAAAGTGTTATTCAATTAGGATCAGACTTTTGTTACACGTGTACATGATTTTACTAGCAAAGTAGATGAAATGAAAGATTGGCTGAAAAATTGTGAAGCTGATGGCGGTGGTGATATACCAGAGGCAGTTGCTGATGCCCTTGATGCAGTGCTCAAACTATCATGGCGTATTAAATAAACTCGAATTTGCGTACTTATTTCTGATGCACCACCACATGGACTCGATCCAAACGGTGATACTTTTCCAGATGGATGTCCAGCTGGTCATGATCCAGCTAGACTTGTTCGAGATATGGGTGAAGAAAATATCACACTCTATACAATTGGCGTCGAACCGCCGATTGGTACGGTGATAATATTTTATATGAATTTTAAAATCAAACAACTATTTTCATTTCTTTTTTGTTCGTTATCGAGATTTTTTTTATGGCTTTGGCTTATATTACTGGTGGACAATATGTTCCAATGGTCGATGCTCAACTATTAGCAAAGATTATTATTGGTGGAGTTCGTGAAGAAATGTCGTTAGATCGTCTAATGCAAAATGCGTTGCCTGACATTGATTGCGAAATGAACAAAGCCGAATCTGAAGGAATAGATGAAAAAGCTCAAGCAAAACGAGTTCGTGATATTTTTTCTTCGAAAAATATATGTTTAAAACGAATGAGAATTTCTCATGGTGCATTTTCATCTGCCGCTACAGATGGATATGCAAAATGTCCTGATATGGCAGAAATGAGAATTCAATTTCGGTTACAATCAGAAGCTACTCCAACTGTTTCGACTACTAGCAGACATACTGGATCAGCATCTGAAACGGATTATGATCTATTGGACGATGAAGTCGTGAGTGAAGATCAGGCTGCCCGGATCAGAGTTGGAACCGGTCCGGCAATCCGGTTGAGGTCCGGCCGGACCGGACAAGACCGGACCGGACCGGACGAGAAATCAAATCCGGCCGGACAAAATCGGATTTTTGCCAGCTCATCATTACAAAATTGTTGCTCGTATTTGATAATTTTTCACCAAAGAACGAATTTTTTCTACATTTTCAACTGAAAAGATGAATAGAATGGTATTCTAAATGAGAAATAGACAGAAAGAAGCAAGAGAGCTGCTTCTCTCTTATGGAACAATTGCAGTTGCTAGAGCAATAGCTAATCTGTGCAATGATTGTAGTAATTAGGAAAAGCCGAAAAGTTTAAGATATGAAAGCGAGAAATCCTACGTCAACTATTTCGACTACCAGACCTATAAGAAGGTGGTCGATAACCATCAGAATCGACAGGTTTCATTATGTTCCGATGTATTTTGCAATTGGATTGCTAGTTGAAGTCGTTAGAGTTCTTCGACAACAACTGCCAGTTGTGCTCGAAACATAAAGAGACCGACTCAAAAACTCCAGTCAGATTCCATTGGCAAAAACACCGGATCATGACAAAAACTTCACACGGGCAACTATAATCTAGAGGTATAGGCTCTATTCCATTTGCTAATTCTCTTTCACGACCATCATATCTACCACAAAATCAAGCAGTTCTCCTGTCTTGATCTTTTTGAACGGTTCTTAGTAGAAAAAGAGAAAAATACGTGTCATTCACGATAGTTATTACTGAGCTTGATTTTTTGTTTTTAAATAACGATGAGTAGTCGATATTCGATATAATCGGCTCATCTCTATTTATCTTCAGCTTGAAAAGTCGGTATCTTGGAATCGAATATAAGGAAGCTGTTTTTTTACATATATTCAGGCGGTCCACTTCAAATATCCGCATGTAAATATCGAAAATTTTACTTCATTTACTATCTTTCGTAAACAAGCTTCTTTTGACTTCCAATTTTTTGCCGGATTTTTGCCAGTTTGGCTTCGAAAATGAACTGGTCGGATTCCGGCCGGACCGGACCGGACAGATTTTTCTACTGGCCGGACCGGACCGGACCGGATACAAAAAATCTGTCCGGTTCCAACTCTGGCCCGGATGGTTCAAAAATGGCAGAGACGTAAAAATAAATGCTACAAGGACCGCTACAGAAGTTTTTTCGTCAACTCTTAGAATAAATATTCAAAGATTGATTGTAGTGTGTTTTTTTTCGAAGTTTTGTTTTGTGATATTGTCGAAAGTTTCCGTTAAAGCAATTAACATCGAACCCATAATCATGCTCATGAATAATTCATATATATCAAGGTGCTTATTTGTTGAATTTAAAGTGCTGTTTTTATTGCAGTGAATCGTCTAGTCAACAAACGAAATAAAAAATCTAGAGAATAAAAGTTGGAAATATTTAATAATAATAGTTTTATTTTCCGATACTTAATAATCACTTTTAGTTCATGTGTCTTTGCACATACTCAGATCATAACAAGAAAAATTTTGAACTTTCAGATGCTACAAAGAAAAACAACTATCAACAATTTAGTCAATTTGAAAAAAGTCGATCATCTGCCAAAAATACTCTTCATCTAATACAACATATTTAGGTACAAACATTTAAATCATATATTCGAATAGGGTGTGGGTGTTTGTTTTCGGTTCTATAACATCAACATTCACAACTCACAACCACAGCCAGAACAAGATATCCAATACTGATTCAATTTATCGATTGAGTGATCAAATCATAGTATAATATAAATGACAAATTCATCCAGTTCTGTATCTATCTATATTTTTGTTTCGATGGAATTCAATGATCAATAGAAAATTTTGCAACGAACATTTCGAAAAAAGAAGATCAAATACGTGACATTAGTGCTACTAAGCTAAAAGCATGCGTTTTTATGTTTTCGTTCATGCATGAAACTCTGAAAAGCTATCTTGAGGGTGAGAGTGTAAGAAGTGCATTCTAAAACATACGTTTGTTGCTGAACTTCAAAAGTTTCGCACTTTTATTTCGGACGATTTGAGATTGGATGAAATGAAAATCGTTGTGGGTTTTGTTCAGAACTTTTTTAAGTTCCACAGATTTCACAGAGTTTCGCAAGTCTTCGACGAAACTTTATGTAAGTTTCGTAAACCTAATACGAAACGATTGATAATTTTATGGGTCATCTAAAGGTTCAGTATATTGTATACAGAACGGTCAATCATTTCGAAGAACATCAGTAGGTTCCGCATATAATGAGTGATGAAGTTATATAGCAAGAAAATAGAACTTCCCTCCTCTTCCCCACAGGTCGTAACAGACAGACAAACAGAATTGATATCTCAGTGGTGTCAGAAAACTCTTGTTCAACAAGGCACACTAAGCTTGTGACTCATTTGTATTCTTCCAGATTTTTAACTATCGACCAACTATTATCACCAACTATGTGATTCTGTGGACCAATCAAGAGTATCTTCATCCACATCCGTATCGTTCTTTCAGTGATACATCTCGAATTACGAACGTGCTAAATCATCAAGAAGAGTGTGACATCTTGTGACTGTTACGGAGAGTCTTTACTGATCAATACATGTTCACATATGGCAGATCAGTGATAACTAAAAATTACAATGTCATGACGTAGAACGACATTAATGAATTAGCTCATTTGTGCGACATCATGTTTTGCTATCAGAATCGCTTACAACAAGAAGATCCAAATAGTTGCGGTCTAGATTCATAGCTGCTATCCTGATCTTAAGCATGTCACTGCCACATAATTCCACGAAACTTTATGTATTCATCATCGCAGACTCTCAAGACTTTTGAAGAAATTATGAGATGAATAGTAAAAGTCAATATTGAGTCTTCGATAAACGAATGTGTGTTTGTCGGTCATAGGAAGTTATCCAAACACGCTAGCCGAAGAAATATGGTTCACTTCATATAGAAAAAAACGACCAATCAGAATCGAGTCCACAGTTTACCCTAACCTATATACTTCTCTCGTTTCCTGTGTACATCTCGAAACAAACAGTATGCCACTGTTAAGTCATCATTAATTAATTACTACTCATCTTGATTACTACTAATTATGTGAGTACTTAACTAATTAGCGCTAATTATTCTAGTACTAATTGCAGTAAGCACTCTCCTGTATTCCAGAGGTACCTTTAGGTCCTCAACTCCTATATTCCGGAGGAACCTTTAGGTCCTCACGTCCTATATTCTAGAGGTACCTTTAGGTCATCAAGTGCTATATTCTAGAGGTACCTTTAGGTCCTCAAGTCCTATATTCTAGAGGTACCTTTGGGTCCTCAACTCCTATATTCTAGAGGTACCTTTGGGTCCTCAAGTCCTATATTCTAGAGATACCTTTACGTCCTCAAGTCCTATATTCGAGCGCTACCTTTAGGTCCCCAAGTCCCATATTCTAGAGGTATCTTTAGGTCCCCAAGTCCTATATTCTAGAGGTACCTTTGGGTCCTCAAGTCCTATATTCTAGAGGTACCTTTAGGTCCCCAAGTCCTATATTCCAGAGGTACCTTTAGATCCTCATGTCCTATACTCCAGAGGTACCTTTAGGTCCTCATGTCCTATATTCGAGAGGTACCT